GGTCACAACGTGACGGCATCAATGTGGGTGTGTGTAGGTAGTGAGTAATTGAACTGCAGTCAGGAAGTATTGTTGAAGTTAACGTTCGTTCGTGATACTGTATGTTTTAGCGCGAATGTTGAAAATAAGTGTATCGTAAAGTTGTATTCGGAAAGAATAAACCAGTTTTATTAAGTAAGGACTTGTGTCGCTAAAGTTTCGTCGGAACGAAGTTACGGAAAGTTAATTAACAAACGGAGACGTAACAGTATGTTGTTGCTGAGTAATTTGTATAGAAAATGAGCTACGTCAGAAAAAAAAAATTACAAAACAATGACAGCAAGAACAAAGTCCAAGAAATCCTATTACCTCTGCAGATTCTTTGGTCTTGGTCAATTCTGGAGAGAATCTGTCTTTGATGGATCCGTAAATATTGTTTTTATACTTACTGTGTATCCCAGAAAACTCACTTGTTGGCAGAATTATTCACAGTTCTTGGGATTCAGCTTATATGTTCTCTTTCCTTAACTAATTCAGAACCTTTTTCACCTTCAAAGGTCTTTCTGTGTGTTATTATGTCATCCAATCAGACGAGTTTGACGTTCCAGGGTTGTTCAGACAGAGTATACACTTCACTAATTGATGAAATGTAGCAGGAATATTACATAATTGAAATGATAACGCGACAAATACAGTAAAGGCTTTTTCTCTCTAATTGCTTTGTTGACTTGCACTTTCCAATATTCTTCTTAAGTTCCAATATTGAAAAACACTTCGTTCCAGATAGAGCATTATACGCACGTGCAATCGCGCATGCAAAAATATACGCACCTGCGCGCGCATCTGCAACTATACACACATGTACCAATCAGGCTAACAAGATGGTTGTAGTCGAGCGGGAGAGATGGTTTTATAGACAATCAGATTAATAAGGTGGTTGTAGTCAAGCCGGGAGACATGGTTTTATAAACAATCAACTTAATAACTGGTTGTTGGTACATGCGCGCAAATGTACTAATATACGCACATGCGCAGGCATGTACAATTATACGCACATGCACGCGCATATGGTTGTAATCAAGATGATTATATAGACAATCAGTTTGATAAGGTGGTTGTAGTCGAGCCGGGAAAGATGATTTTATAGACAATCAGATTAATAAGGTGATTGTACTCCAGCATGCATGTACCAATATATGCACATGTGCGCACATATGATTGTTGTCAAGATGGTTTTATAGACAATAAGATTAATAAGGTGGTTGTAGTCGAGCCGGAAAAGATGATTTTAGAGACAATCAGATAAATAAGGTGGTTGTAGTCCAGCCGGGAAAGATGATTTTAGAGACAATCAGATTAATAAGGTGATTGTAGTCGAACCAGGAGAGATGGTTTTATAGACAAGCAGATTAATTAGGTGGTTGTAATTGAGCCAGGAGAGATGGTTTTATAGACTTATTTAATCAGATTAATAAGGTGGTTTTAGATGGTTTATATGATCAATTAGATTAATAAGATGTTGTAGTCGAGCTGGGAGAGATGGTTTTATAGACAATCAGATTAATTAGGTGGTTGTAGGTGGTTTATATGATCAATCAGATTAATAAGATGTAGTAGTCGAGCCGGGAGAGATGGTTTTATAGACAATCATCTTAAAAAAAACTAAAAGGAAGAGAATCAGAATAGTTACTACAGTATACATTTATAGTAAAGAAATTTTGGACAGGAAACTTAAATGGCGCACAATTTCGTTGAGGAACAATCTTTATTATATCTTTGAAACTCTATCAAAACACCATTTTAAAATTGAAATATAAAACTAGAGATATTGCCAAACTGAACACATAATTCTAATTTGGAACAAAACTCCTAAAATGAAGAAGCCATAAAGAATAATTCAAACACCTAAAGTAGTTTAGATTACACTGGACAACAAAATATTTGCTATTGGAGAAAACTCAAGTGATTCGGGGTAATTTGATGATGCTTATTTCAAAAGTGTAGTCAGAATTTATTCATCGCCTTTTGATTCTGCGTTATTGTAATATCTCAGTATTTTATAAGCATTATGTGAAATACCATGTAATAAACTCAATACAATACATTTATACTGTGAAATTAAGTTTACTTGAACAGTTTAATGGGTAAAAGGCATACATACATTTTTGATAACTTCAAACAATGACTGTATTGTAATGATGTAAAATTCCAAATATATTGTTCATATATATTATTTGTTCTCGATATAATTGTAGCTAATTACACCATTTTTGCTTCATTCCCACACTCACCTGCTCTGCCAGGGAATCACGAAACCCTTATGTGCTCAGTTTGTTAGAACATTCGAGAAGTCTCAAGACTGAACATAAAAGGGGTGGAGTCAAATGCTTCTTTCCCAGTTGATTGATCACTTCGCCTTGCTTTGCATACAGTTAAAACAAAGTCAGAGCTTCTTCCTCACATCACACCCATGATATGATCAAATTCTACAAAGCCTTGTTTTTTAAAGTCTAGTTCTGTAAACATAAATTATTTTATATATTTTTTAAAATCATTTGAAGTGCTGGCTGTCACCAGTTCAAATAAAGTCCTTAAATGAAAAAATCACCCACACAGTGTCTACTACATTTGTGGAAAATATATTAGTTTCATGAAGGAAAACATCACACACAAGGTAAAGGTAGCTTACTACTACTATTTTGGGTGTAATATTGATCACCAAGAAAAACATTGGGCCTCACATGTGTGTTATACAGTCTGCACATCTGGCTTGACACAGTATGGCTGAATAAGAAAAGAGCAAGTGTGCCATTTACAATCCCCATGTGAACCCAAAGACATCTAACTAACTGTTATTTTTGCATGACTAATGTTTCTGGATATTCAGGCAAAACTAAACAATGCAATAATATCCAGATATTGCATCTGCAATAAAACCAGTACTTCATGGGGATGGTCTTCCAGTGTCATATCCACCAGTGAATTGGGAAACAGAAGAATTATCCTGTGAAGAAGACAATGAATCATTTTCATCTAGTAATTTTATTCTTGTGACATCTCAATACAAACCCCTTCATCTGATCACTTAAGAACAGCTAAAAGATTTGATTCGTGACTTTTCTCTATCAAAGCAGCATGAGGAACTTCTTGAGTCTCGTTTAAACAATGAAATTTATTAGCTCCAGAAACAGGAGTTTCAATTTACCGGAATCGCTATCAAAACCTTGCTTCTCACTATAGCATGCAAGATACTTTGTGTTTCTGTACAAATGTTGATGCACTAATGGAAGAATTAGGTACTGAACATCATCCTCAAGAATAGAGACTTTTTATCTACCCATCTAAAGTTAGTCTAGAAGCTATACTTTTGCACAATGGGAGCACTAAGTCATTGATTCCTGTTGTTTATGCTGTAAACGTGAAAGAAACTTATCAAAGCATGCATATTATACTTGAAGTCATCAAATATGATCACCATAGGTGGAATATATGTGGTGATTTAAAATTTATTGCACTCTTACTAGGCTTGCAGTGTGGGTATACCAAACACTGTCGCTTTTTTGTGTCTCAGTGACTGCCGAGATGATAAAAATCATTTCAAAAAGAAGGAATGGCCAGTGAGAGAGAATTACATACCATAAAAACAGAATATTTAGAATCGACCTTTAGTGAATTCTCAAAATACATTTCTGCCCCATTTCATATTAAACTGGGACTTGTGAAGAATTTTGTAAAAGGAATGAACAAAGATGGTAATGATTTTAGATATCTGTCTGACAAGTTTCCAAGAATCAGTGAAGCAAAAATGAAAGAAGATGTTTTTGTTGGGCCACAGTTTCGGAATGTGCTGGTGGATGATGATTTTGAAACAGCACTCAATCAAAAAGAACTTGTATCTGGAAATCTTCAAACTGGTTGTCAAAAATATTTTAGAAAATCACAAAAATGAAAACTATGCTTTGATGATTGATGATATGCTCGAGAACTGCAGGAAAACGGGGTCTAAAGGTTCACTTCTTACACTCCCATTCAGACTTCTTTCCAATTGATCTAGGTGCAATGAGCATAGTGAGCGCTTTCACTAAGATATTTCTACAGTGGATCAGCAATATCAAGAACGAAGGAATCCTGCGATGATGGGAGATTACTGTTGGTTCTTACAGTGTAAAACTGAGAACATAAATAAAAAGTGCAATAGGCCAAGCAGCTTTTTTGTAACAAAAAATAAAAAACTACTACCATGATGAAAACTTTGAACACAGCCTGAATGAATTTTTGGTATAAAATGTTATTATGCTCATTGCTTTTTTCAACTGGTATTGGTATTATGTATTGTTTTTGAAAATGAATAAATAATGTATTAAAGAAAAAGTTATTTTCACGATATATAAGAATATTTTGAATAAATTCGAAAACTAGAGGCGATCAATAATTTTCAACATGATTTTTATAATCAGCATTGTCAAATTACTCAGAAACAGTTGCTTTTTTTTCTAGTAGTAGAGAAAAAAAATTGTTGCATGGTGTCATTAGTATTGGCTAGTAAATAATTTTACGTCTAAACCTACAATTTATTTATATTCCACCTTTAAAACAGGGAGCATCAAATCCAAGTATGGATCAGACCTCTAGGTAATTTATGAATTTTTTATTCTTGTCACCAAAATTACACACTTTACAGAAGTGAATAAAAATCACGATAAAACTTAGTTAATTCAAATAAAACGTGTTGTTTGAAGGATGTTGAATACGTTCTTCCAAACAATCTCTGTCAGTGCAAGACAGATTTATTGTTCCGTATAGAAGTTTAGTTTTTGTTGGTTTGTTTGAAGTTAAGCACAAAGCTCTGCCCACCAAGGGTATCGAAACCCGGATTCTAGTGTTGTAAGTCCTCAGACATACCGCTGTGCCACTAGGGGGCTATAGAAGTTTAAATTGTTTGTAATTAAGCACAAAGCTACACAATGGGCTCTATGTGCTCTACCCACCACGGGTATCGAAACCCGGATTCTAGCGTTGTAAGTCCGCAGATATACCACTGTGCCACTTGGGGGGGGATAAGTTTAAATACTGACGCAACATATCATCAGCAATGAGCTGATCAATATAGAGAAGATTATAACTCTTGTTTTTCAAAGAACAAATACATTTAGTCACCAACAATCATGCACACGAGATCATTGGTTGAACTTACCTTAGTCGATCCTACTGAAAAAATTCCAAAACACATAAAAGAAGTCTGGTCCTTTCATGAAAATACGCGATGTTAGACATGCTTCTTTACTGTAGACTACTGGAAGTGATTTTGTATATCATGACGTCCTGGCAGCTCAATTTAAAGATAACTTGGGAAGAACTCATACAATCATTTTAAAATTTAACAATTTACAATAGAATAGTAGAAAACTTAAGTTATAATAGCTACAATACTGTATGCATATAGCAATGAATGACGGACCTAATTAGGTCTTTTTTATTCTTACAGGTTTTAAGAGAAAATTGTAAAGAATAACATGATTCACCAGTCAGCAGCCAAAAGCTATATTAGAGAGGTCTCCTTATCTTTTAGGTAGACTTCTTATTGTACCCAAATGATTAACCTTTATAGATTACCATCAAGTATTGATATTTGTAGGCACATTGTATGCTAGATATAGGTCTTTTCTACAGATTTATTTGTGTCATCTGTTAAATACTTGTGACATACTTGACTCAGAATTATTAGCAAATATTTATGAGTAGGGTGACAATATATTATTATAATATAGAAACGAGGCATCCACTACAACAAAGCTCATAGAGATTTTTTTGCATAGCTAAAGCAATCAAAAGAAATTATGTTATACCGATATCATGAAGATTTATGCATAATGTTACGACAGCGGGGGTCACGTTACGCTAGTAACACGTCATATTCTCGAAGGTTCGTGAAGTCTCGGGAGGTTACTAGATATGCGGTATTTTTGTATATATAAGACCGGTAAGAACTGACGGCAGGAATATGTGTAATTGACAGTTGAGTCGAGCATGTGAGACGTTCGTTGTGAATTATAGCGTTTGTTATAGCGCGACTGTGAAAATTAAGTGTATTGCAAAGTTGTATTCAGAAAGAATAAACCAGTTTTACTTAAGAAAGGACTTGTGTCGCTAAAGTTTCTTCGGAAAGAAATTATACGGAAAATTAACTAACGACCGAAGACGTAACAATAATGTATCCGATACCTTAGCTGAAAAATACCAAATGGTATGGAGATTCATTGGGTCCATGGGGAAATACATACAAATTTGGTGATGATCCATTCACAGAAGGTGAGACAGTTGTAAAAAACGCAAAAAGACCATAAAAACCATAAAACGCAAAACTGAAAATGTGTATATACTCCCATGTGGACCCAATGAGCTTCCATATCAATTTTGGTGAAGATTCATCCACACCATACGAAATAGTGACATAGACATACAACAGACAGTAATATTATATTTATATAGATATATATAAAAGCGAAATTGTATGCTTGTCTCTCTGCTAACTTCTCGCACATTATTTGACTAATCAAACTTGGCATGGTGACTCCCACGGTTTCCGGAAGTACTATGATGGGGCACAATTCCCACGAGGTTTCCTACAAAAACTAATTTTTGGCTTTTTATTCAGTTTCTGTTTTCATGTCACGCTCCTTTCTATAATACTCAAACACTATACATCGTTGCTTAGCAAACAAAATTATCACGATATTGTTTTTAGGCCAAGAATGTTGCTTATGTTGAACGTGTAATGTACATGTTAATTTATGGTTTATTTTTGTTTTATCTGTTATTAATAACTTCGGTGATATAAAAGCACACGGTTTAATTTAGAAACTTCTTCTTAAGTTAGTGTTGAAGAGTTTCCAATCATTCAATCAAACAACTACATTACGATTTCAGACAAATATGGTAACTTAGTTAAGGATGCACAAGAGCTAAAGAAAATATGTTCACTAATATTTATCAAAATTTTTAATGGTTGTGTACAGGAGCAATTCTTGCATCTCAAAATGGATACTGTTCATGACATAAATGATCAATTACTGCAGAATATTTCCGGACAAGAATTCACCTACAGCTCAATTGTTAGTGTTCCAGTTCCAGTTGATGTTCTAAATTACCCAACTGAATTCCTAAATCCTTTTGAACCACCAGATATGCCAGGTCATATTATGAAATTAAAAGTTGGTTCACCAATAATGTTGTTGAGAAATCTTAATCCTCCAAAATTCTATAATGGCACAAGTTTAGTTATTAAGACTTTACTGTCACATGTTATTGAAGCAACTGGCCATGCCAAAGGGTAAGATATCTTCATTCCAAGAATTTCTTTGCTACCAAGTAATTACCCCTTTGAATTTAGAATCCACCCATTCCAAGGTACAGTTTGTTTTGGAATTAATAAGACACAGAGTCAAAGCTTGAAGGTTGCTGGATTGTTCTTAAAGTAACTTTGCTTTTCACATGGTAAAAATCTATGTAGGATGTTCAAGGGTTGGATATCATCAAAACCTGTTTATATTGTCAGAAGAAGGAACAACGGCCAATGTGGTATATCAAGAAGCTTTAATTTAGGTTGTGTAATTTTTGTTTTGAAAATCAAAGGTTTAGATAAAAACTAAAATGTTATGAAAATTTAAGTTCTTAAATAAATGTTTTTAAATACCTATTTCAAGTACTTTGGACACCTGGGCAGGGAACAGATAATTTAGTTAGTTAATAATTATTTATTAATCTCATTACGAGGGGCACATGGACGGTAAAGCTTTTATAAATTTGCACTCGTGCTATTTACTGATCTTTTATGCTGTTATGGGAAGCTATTCTTTCAGCACCAAGGTCTGTCTGGACAGGTATTTGGTCGTTTTGCGCGACCTGGGAGGGCCTGGTTCAATTCAGACATCTTCCTCCTTTCTTTACTATTGTATGTTAAACTGTCAAATGATATAGAAATCAAGACTTGAACACTATGTAAAACATTGAGTTGAAACATTGATTCTGCTTTACTCTTCAGGGCCAATTTATGCATGCGTCTGGTCTAGATCGGTATTTAGGTCGCAACTTGGGAGTGACAGGTGCAATTTGAATCTCTTCCTCTCTTCAGCACCAAGAAACTTGGGTTAGGTTTGTTATGAATTTTGCGTAAAGCTAAGCGAGGGCTATCTGCGCTAGCCGTCTCTAATTTAGCAGTGATAGACTAGAGGGGAAGGCAGCTAGTCACCACCCACCGCCAACTATTGAGTTACTCTTTTACGAACTAATAGTGAGATTAAGAGATTATTATTGAGATTGACCATAACTCTATAATGCCCCCACGGCTGAAAGGACGAGCATGTTCGGTGACGGGGATTCGAACACGCGACCCTCAGATTGCGAATCGAGTACTCTAAACACAACGCCATGCCAGGCCAGAAGCTTGGGCAATACATTATTTGTATTGCATTGGACAATAATTCTTTCGTTTCATTAATGATTATTAAACTTGATTATTAAATATTTCAGCGTCATCGTATAGACTATAGAGGAATCGATTACTCATAAGGAGACACTAAGATATTAGTGAGCCAGTCATCTTAGGAGTTTCATAGAGCATTAAATTACTTGCCGATTTGCGTTCTTTATTGGCCATAATTGATTAATGTTTGGAGCGCTGCGGCCTGCGAGGTACAGCGTGTTCATTAAATATTTTCATAGAAATCTGAAGCGGACATCGTTCTTTTGCTAAGGATAGCATGGTATGTAACCAGGAAGACGTCTCATTTGAGATAAATACAGCAAAAACACGGCACTGTTTGGGTCCCGAAAAGCCAATGATACAGCTTTCTTCTTATTAACTAATTTTAGTTTAATTTGAAATAGAAAACGATTACCTTTTAAATGATAACAATATATTGAGGGAACAAAACATGCAAGTATGTAAGTTAGAATAGTATGAAAATATTCTTTAATTTGTCAACTATTGAACTGATAATAAGGAACTTGGAATAAGTAACCACCTTCTAGTTCTAGGTGGTGCTTCCGTATGTCTTACTCAAAGAAATCACATTGCAGTTTTACTTTTGATAAGAGAGTCGTAGGCTAATTGTTATCGTTAATTGATTTCATAATGAAATACGCAAAAAACAATTACGACTGAGACTTGGACCTAAAGCTCTAAGTTATAAAATATTTTAAGTTTGCTATATACTTACCAGTGTTGAGCCTAAGGCGAAATATAATTATATTTATATGTAAAGTTATGGCGTATAGTATGAAACTTAAAGCTGGGAAGACTTGGTCTTTGTTGAATTCGTGTATTAATAGTCATATTTCGAGATTTTTCGTTACAATTTTCAATAGAAATTTAATAGGAGAAGAGAAGTTAATATACCTACCAATTCTTCAACGACCAACTAAGGTTAACGGGAATCTTGCTAAAACGAGTAACACTAACAGTACTAGTAGCTACGTTATTAAAAATAAAAGTACTGGGCCTATCAGTAGTAGTAGACCGCGTAATACTAGTAGTATTACTGTCTATAAAAAACAAAATAAAAGTACGAATGATATCGTAAACAATGGAGTGAGAAATATTAACTTTGTATGCCATCCATTTTATTCTAGTGGTCAAGAAAAGTATCCTGGAACAAAAAGGTATGTTTTAATTGTTATAACTATAATTTGTAAACATTTGAAGACTCGCAAAGTGAAACTATAAAGTATAATAAAAGTAAAAGGATATATATGAAAAATAGAAGAAAATACATTCCAGTATAACGTGATTTTTATCACAGCTTTTAGGTCTATTGTAAGACTTAGTTCTATGTATATCATCACATATTTGATTTACTGTAAACGCGATGTTTAAAGAAGAAATTAGGGATAAATGCCATAGGCTTAAAAGAACTTTATAAATTTAATTGAGAGATAGATTTGAAGATGTGCAGAACTAAAAGATAGTTAGGGATTTGGTTAGAAAGTAAGGATATTTAAATTATCATATTAAAAACAACTTGCTGGTAATGCTTAAACTGATAGCAAGAATTTTAAAATGTGTTATAGGTATGCAAAATGTTAAGTTGGGGATTGGGCCCTTAGAATTTTTTTTAAATGCTGATGGAATAAATTTTATTGAATATTATGAGATGGCTGAGCTTTTAAATGTTTTTTTCCAAGAGAAAGTATTACCAATATTCCTGATTTTCTTGAGAATTGTACAGAAAATACTACAATTTAGCCAAATTATGTAGGTTTATTAATAATATAATATAATATTTAGGGAATACATAGGATCTATTGGTCCATCTAGGTTGTCCCATCCTCTAAACTAAACTAAAACTATTAAATGAATAAATATAAAAACTCCAAGCCAGCTCTTATCATTCATATAGTTATCAAGCTTTCTCTTAAACTCACTTAAATTTACTGCTTCTACAACATCTGAAGGCAACCCATTTCATAGGTCAACCACCCTGTTAGAAAAATGAAACTGTCTTAGCTGAAGATGACTCCTACCATGCCAAAATTTATATTTGTGTCCCCTAGTCCTATCATTCTCACCATTAAGTATGAAAAAAGATGATGCATCAACAATATCAATTCCCTTAACAATCTTAAACACCTCAATCAGATCCCCCATAACTCCTATTTTTTTCAAGAGAAACCTCTCCATCCCAGACACCATTCTTGTAGTCCTACTCTGAACCTTTTCCAACAATTCCTAAGGTAAGGAGCTGGAGACTGAACACAATACTCCAAATTTGGCATAACCAGTGACCTATACAGTGAAATCTTAACCTCCTTAGTCTTGTATTCAATATTTCTGTAGATACAACCTAAAGTCCAATTTGCCCTACCACTAGCAACAACACAATGCTTAGATGGCCTAAGAGACTGATCAACCACTACACTAAGATCCCTTTTTCTCATGACACTGATAAGGTTATTCCCTTTCAAATTATACTTATATTTCAAATTATGATAACCCACATGCATTATCTTTAATTTATTATAATTAAAACCCATGTGCCATTTACTCACCCAACTCAATGAATGACCTAAATTCTTTTGTAAAGCAGCATCCTCTTCCTCACGGCCAGCAACATCCAAGACCTTAGTATCATCAGCAAATTTAAGTAATTTTTAACCATTCCTTCATCTATGTCATTGATGTAAATCAAAAAGAGCAAAGGTTCTAAACTGAGCCATGAGGTACCCCACTTGTGACATTAATCCAGTTTGATTGAACTCCATTTAAAACAACTTTCTGCTTTCTTCCATCCAACCACTATTCTATCTAATTAACTAACTCATCCCTCACACCTATATATTTTTTTTACTTACCTTTTATGTGGCACCTCATCAAATGCTTTCTGAAAATCCAGATACATCAAATCTGTGCCCTTACCCTTATCTACATAAGCAGTATCCTTTTCAAAGAATGTCAAGAGATTTGTAAAACAAGATTTTTCCTAGTGAAACCATGTTGACTATCCAATGAAATTCTAAACTTTGCTAAATGACTTGCAAAGCATCTTTTATCAGACTTTCCAAAGCTTTTCCCACCAATGATGTAAGACTAATAGGCTTATATTTAGTGGGATAATTTTTATCATCTTCCTTGAAAAGAGAAGTAACATTAGTCAACTTGCAATCCTCAGGCACCTGACCACTATTCAAGGTCTTACCAAAAAAGAGTAACAAGGGGCTCACATATCCAATCCTTAATCTCCTTCAAAACCCTTGGGGGAAATATCTGGCTTAGGAGCTTTATTCTTTAAATTTCCCAATTTTTTTTTCTTTACAAGCTCAGAATTAATGTGATCATTTTGTTCAAATATCAACTGTTCAAGATGAAGAACATTGCTTAAACCTTCATTAGTTAAAACGGAAGAAAAAGCAGAGTTAAAAATTGTTGAAGCACTATAACTAATGTTTTTTCTGATAGTTTTAAAATGAGTTTAAAGATTAGATATGTGAGCCCTGTTCTTTAATTTTATTGTAGGTCAATAGACAGTGAGTAAGTGCCTAATGATTAGACATTTCTCTTATTTTCAAAAGGGCTGGTAAGAATTACTCTGGAAATTATAGGCCAGTTAGTCTTATTTCTGTAGTGCAAAGATTTGAATACAAAAAAAAACTTTGGAAAATCATTTGGTGAAATGGGATATAAAAATGGGCTCATTAAACAGAAATCTTTTCTTATTAATATATACTTTTTCTAGGATGTTACTTATTACATGGATAGTGGAAAGGATGTGTTCTTTATGTGCTTAGATTTTGATAAGCTACCCTGCAGTTCTAGTTAAGAAACTCACATTAGTAGGAGCTGTGGGAAAGACTAATTAAATTGAGTGAAGAATGGCTGGATGAGAGCTAGAAAGCCAGAAATTATTGTTAACAGCATTTCTCATTAATTGTGTGCATCATTGGTCAATGCTTGTGCCTATGTGTTTTCTTAGTAGAAAGTAATTATTTTTAGTATATTAGTAAAGTTTGCTGATGACATAATTATTGGGCAACAAGGGACCATTTAATCTTTCTAAGCTGATCGTGCACACACACCCTTAAAAAGACAAACCATCCTTTATATCTCAGTAAACCACGAATACCTTAAGTTTTATAAGGTATCAACTTCCACTACAGCTGACGGCAACTAATTCCATAAGGTAATCACCCCGTTAGAAAACAAACATCTTATTTTAGAGTTAATTATTTCACTATACAAATAATTGGTTAGGCTTCACCTGGAATACTGTGTACAGTTTTAGTATTTATATCTAAGAAAGGATACTTATTGACTTATATGAAAGGGTTCACAGGATGGCTGGTAGGATGATTCTGTGTATGGAAGGGTTGTCATATGAGGTTTGTAAAAATTCACTCCAATAACTTTATCTTGAGAAAAAAATGGGTGAGGGCATTGATAGGATAAGTTCTCTGATTCCTTTGTTCTATATTCTGAAGATAATAGGATGAGAAGACACAAGTTTAAAAGTTTGCAAAATAGCCTGCCAGGCTCCTGTTAGTACAGTTTTATTTTCTTAACAGAGTGATTGGCTTATGGAATGAATTGCTATTAACAATAATGGAGACAGGAATTTTATCAGAGTTTAAAAAGAGAATCAACAAGGGACCTTTTGGTCCTTCAAGATTGTCCTTACACCCCTACCACCAAGGAGGATTAATGGCTTAAGTAGGGTACCTCAAGGTAGAACATTTGCTGTTTTTGATATATTTCAGTAACATAGATGAAGGGATGGTCAATAAATTATTTAGACTTGCTGATGATGTTAATGTTTTGTGTGTTGCTGGCTGTGAGGATGCTGCTTTATGAAATAATTTGGATTATTTTTTTAGTTGGGTGAATAAATGGCAGATGACTTTAAATCATAATAAATGCAAGGTAACTCGTGGGATATCATAATTTGTATTTTGAATATAATTGTTATGGGGATAACTTAACAATATTATGGAAGAAAAGGATCTTGGTGTTCCTGTTGATTAGTCTCTTAAGCCATCCAAGCGATGTTTTGTTGCCAGTGGCAGGGGAAATAGGATTTTAGATTGTATTAAACAGAAATATTGAATACAAGTCTAAATGGCTTATAATTTCATTGTATAGTTCAATGATTAGGCCACATTTGGAGTATTGTGTTCAGTCTTGGGCTCCTTACCTTGGAAAGAACATTGAATTCTTGGAAAGAGTTCAGAGGAGGGCTACTAGGATGATATCTGGGATGGAAAGGTTTTTATATAAGAACAGGTTAAGATCTTTGAAATTGTTTTCTATTAAAAAAAAAAGAGTTAGAGGTTACCTGATTGAGTCATAGGTTGAAAAGGAAATTGATAGTTTTTATGTATCATTTTCTTTTTTAACTGTGAGAATGGTAGGGCTAAGGGACACAAATATAAATTTTCCAAGATGGGAGTCTTCTTCAGTTAAGACAGTTTTAATAGGATTGTTGGCTGTTGTAATGGGTTGCCTCTAAGTGTGGTGGATGCAGTGAATTTAAGGGAGATTAAGGGAAGGCTTGTTAAATATTTGAATGATAAGGGCTTTCTCTGTGTTTTTTATTTTAGTTATTTTTATTATGCATATATATGTTTATATTATACATATTTTAAGTTGTTGTCCCAAAATTTTGTTATGTCAGAGTTAGAAATACCACTGCCTTAAAAGTCCGTTAAGCCATTAACACAAATGATGAATCAAAAAAAATCTAAAGAAACTATCGGAGAAATCATTTTACCAAAGTGCAAGACTAGATTTGTAATTTGATCTTACAAAGCTTATATAATTAACTCCTAAAATCCAAGTGTGCATTGTGTGTCTTGTCAAAGAAATGCATCCAGTATCAGCTTTTGTCAGTAACTGTACAAAATAGCTTTTTTTACTAGCATGTAAATAAATCTTGTTTGTTTTCGAAACTATGGTTATATTAGTAGCACATTAATAATGGATATCCAATTGGAATGAATAATGATCTCTTGCTAGAGTTTAAGTCTTTATGTCAAACAATAGTCATTCAATTAAGCTAAAACAGAAAGATATGTTTGAAACTGAAAAGTATTATTTTATTTCTACCATAAAAGAGGCATGAACAATTTTTAACAAAATATTACTGAAATGTGCTAAGAGACATGTATCAAAAATAATTACAAACATTAATTACAAAAGGCATAACTCAATGTAAATTAATAATGTGGTATTAATATTAAAATCAAGGATCAAAATATTACATTCTCACATTTCCAAGTAAATTAACTTTGCTTGAGAAATTTCATCTTTTTAGTTGGATTTCCCAATTGGTTCATCTGAATTCATTTAGTTATGACCAATGAAAGCAAACATAAGACATGGATTAAATAAAAAACAATTCATCAGAAAGTATAACTTTACATGAGGGAATGTAATCTTCCTAATAGCTTACCCTCAAGTGAATGTAATTTTATTTCATTACTTCTGTCCCTGAGAATGCATAGAAAAAAATGTTTCTAAGTAGTTTTTACTAATAAAAATATGACTGATATGCCTTATTTCCATGTGATTACAGACACAATTATTGCTAACATCTTTCACCATAAAGATAAATATGGGGGAAAATGTATCTGTAATGAAGATAAATAAATTGATTGAACTTAATTGTGTGTATTATGGCATAGTGTTTCTTAAATCTCTGAGTGATGTATTATATGAATCGGTTCATATTTTGATAGTTCTAATGATAAAGGGAAATCGCCTTGGATGTATGAAAAGGAAGACATTATAATGATCTTTAAACAAAACCATGGGACAAAAGATACCTGAATAAAATAGACTAAATAGTTTTACATGTCTGTTTGTTTTAAATCAATAGATTAAATTATGAGAAATGAAGGGTCATTTTGTACATCAAGGACGTCTTGCTTCCCAGCACTCTGAGAGAAACAGAAAACTAATCACTATATCTGGCCCTGATCTCCTAAGTATTTGTCAACTCAACACTTTTCTTAAACTCTTGCAAAGTTGCAGCCTCTACCACTGTAGACAGCAGTTTATTCCAGAGACTAACACCCTATGTGTATTGGAGAAATATAAGTGCCATAACTTGAACTTTTATCAAATTTAATGGAATTCTCCCAAATCCATAAGTTATTAGTTTATTATCATTTTGACTTTTTGCAATTTCTTCAAGCTCTCAATTACTGGGTAAGTAGCTTTAATGAAGGATATTCTATAGTATTTGTATTTATCTGGATTGTAGTGTAGCCTTTGACTATTTCCCTTATTTATGGTTACTTCACAAATTGATATGACATATGAAAGAAGCTATACAATTAGCATACCTGGGATCTTTTGAATGTGGCTGACCCTGATAATTTTTGAAGGATTATGCAGTACACTGTCGATCCATAACTTGAAACACTTAATCATAAATGTTTCTTTAATGTTACTGAACTGTACATGTACATTGCTACTTCATTCATCAATCATATCAACATTTGAAAAATATTTGTTTGTAGATAAACAACTTGAATAAGAAGACAACATAAATTTTTAATTATTAAATACATGTACTTAATTTTAACTACATCTCACTATACTTACATTAAAAAAAATTATAAGGATCAGATCTTTTTGAGAGCTGCATTTGCTGTAAGATCAGCTAACTTGCCCAGAGATAATCTCAAGATAATTGTCACACATCAAGGGAATGAAATTCCCAGTGACTGTGTCAAATTCAGAGAGCTAACAGCTGTGACAATTGACGTATAAACAATGTTGGAAATCTTGCTAGCACCCTAGACAGATTTTGTGCTGAAGTTAAACAGGTGCATGGTTTATATGTTTATTGGTATGACCACATGATGATGGGTTGTTATGTTTTGAAAATTAAACAATTTATTAATCATTGAGTTAACATTGATTCTTAAAATAAGACCAAGATCTTGAATGAAATGTCGAATTTTAAGATTTTCATGTGGGCCTGGGTATGTAGGCTGAATAAACAAGTGAAATAAACAAACCAAGTAACCAGATTTTAGTATTGAAAACAGAGGGGTAGAACAGTTATTGAATGGGAATTTCAGAAAATGAATCATTTGTTGCACTCGTAACCAGATAATAATTGTTCCTTAAAACATGTTGATTGAAATTTGCTTCATGATAAAACTCTTGTCATCCTGAATGTAACACAAAATATAACTGTGGTTACTGCCACCTTATTTTTTTGTAATGTTTGACTTATTCTTTTTATAATACATTTTTCATGATTAATAGAAGGAAACTAAATATGAATTTTCTTTTTCAAGTTTTATTAGAAGATATGCTCTCCTAGCTGGAATACTGGGAAGTCTTGGTTTCCAGAAAGATGAGGAAAAAGAAGAAGTACTTATCTCCACAATCAAGCGTGGTGTTCTTTCTATTCAGAAGGGAGACTTGAATACTGCAGAGCAGATCCTCCATGTTGCCCTTAAAATTGCTGAAGATGAAATGAATCCACAGGGTATTACCTATATATATGATTTACTTGCTAACATTGCCTTTGAAAAACAAGAACATCAAAAAGCAGAAGCACTCTTTGTAGAGGTAATGAAACGAATGATTGCTTCTGGAACTCCAAAAGATGATAATGCAATTTTGGAAATGTCATTGAAGCTTTCAACTATATACAGTGAGCAAAAACTTGAAGAAAAGGCAGAAGATGGATTTCGTTACTGTTTTCAAGTGCTGAACAAAAGAATCCAATCTATTGATTTAGAAAAAGTGGATATTTTCACAGAAACAGAACAGGATGATATTATTTTATGGGCCATGAGCTGTGATTGGTATGCTCGTCATTTAATGTCTAAGGGGGATCTCAAAAATGCACAGCAACTTTATGAAAAATCCTTAGCAGTTTCTGAAAAGGTCAATGGACCTTCTCACCCAAAAACTTTAATTCTAATGAATGATATTGGAAGTGTTGCCAGCATGAGGAAAGACTTTGATGTGGCCATCAGTTATTTAAATCAAGCAATAGATAGAGGTACAGTAGAAGAAAGCTCAGACCTACCATCTTTCTACTGTAACTTGGGAGTTACACTTATGCAGAAAGGGGATCTTCAAAATGCATTTAAAACATGTGATAAAGGGTTTCAGTTAGCTAGAAAATTAAAAAATAAAGTTGCTCAAAGTGAAGCCAAAAAATGTATAGAAGAGGTTAAAAAAGTTAAGAATACCAAGTTGTAAAACATCAGAACATTAATAAAAATATGGTTAAACCAGGAGCACTCATATATCAAAATGCTCTATTTTGCAAGCTTTGTTTAACTTTTTAAAAAGTCTACTTTAAAGTTAGAATAAGAAAAGAAGGTATGAGGACAGAATATATTTACTTCTGAAGTACCAAAGCTATACCTAGTGCATTTCTCATTTTAATGTGAAAATTTTTGAATAATATATTTATTAATGCTTATTGATCATACAGCTTAATTTCTATAAAGCATCATTATCATCATCCTTAATATATATGTTTGAATGTTGTTATTTATTTTGTGATTAACTTTATTTGTAAAAAATATTTCACTGAAAACCTAAATATCTGAATATTATTACATATATAACTTAAAAATAATTTCAATTGAAAAGTTAATAATTCAAGGAGCCCTCTGATCACAACCTAGAATTTGACTTTTAATTTAGAAATGTGTTAGAAATTGATTCTATAAGGGTGTTTCCTAAAAATACTTCGTACTTGATTTCCATATATGTTCCATAAAAAAGGGCCCGGCATGGCCAGATGGTTAGGGTGCTCGACTCGCAATCTGAGGGTTGCTGGTTCGAATCCCTATCACACCAAACATGCTCGCCCTTTCAGCC